AAGGACTTCTGGGAATGGGCATCAAATTCTGGCCTTGTCATTGAAGCCCACCTCTTGATTTTGAAACATTGCAAAAAGTAATTGTTGATCTCATTGTCTGCCTTATGGTCATGGCTGAGGGTGTGAAAAAGCAAGGTATAAACCAAGAAACAACAAATTGGTCAGTCCATCCTTTGTGGTGGGTAAACTATTGGAAACAATTCTGAGGGACTGAATGAATCTGCATTTGGAGAAGCTAGGATTAATCAAGAACAGTCAACATAATTTTTGTTAAGGGAATGTCATATCTTCAAAAATTCAATTAATTTGGTCAGAGGTGACCAAGTGTAGTCTACTTGGATGTCAGCGAGTCTTTTGATAACATCTAGCATGAGAGACTGATAGACATGGGACCCAAAGAAATATATCAAATTGGATCCAGAATTGGCTGAATGGCAGGAAGGCAGGGGATGACAGTTGAGGGTTATTTTTATGACTGGAAGTCCTTATCTAGTGGGATCCCACAGCTTTTGCTGTTTGTGATTTATGTAAATCATTTAGACTTGAATGTATAAAGGCTGATCAGTAAGTTTGTCGATACAAAAATTGGTTGGGTGATAAATAATGAGGATATAGACATGCTGGTCAAATGGGCTGATCAGTGGCATTTGGAATTCAATCTGGATAAATGTGTGGTGATGCACTTGGGCAGGACAAACAGGGCAAAGAAATACGTGGTGAACAGTAGGACCCTGAGAAGCACTGAGGATCAGAAGGATGTTGGTATGTATGAACACTGGTCTCTTAACCACTTTATCCATCTATCCTGATATCTTGGGAAATATAGTATACTTGCTTTTATTAGTTGAGGCATAGACTTTAAGAGGAGGGGGGTTAATCATTGGTTAGGCCACTGTTAGAGTATTGTATACGGTTCTGGAATCCACATTATAGAGGAGATATGATTACACTGGAGCAGGTACAGAAGAGATTTACCAGAATGTGCCTGGGTTGAAGAGATGCAGTTAAGAAGAGAGATAACTTGCCTCAGAACAGAGGAGATTGAGAAGGGGCATAATTGAAATGTATAAAATTGAGGACGTACATAGGGTAGGCAGGAAGAAACTTCACGCTTGATGGAGGGATCAGTGACCAGGGGGCATAAATTTAAGGTAAGAGGCAAAAGGTTTAGGGAAGATGTGAGGGAAATCTTTTTCACCCAGACGGTATTGAGAATCTGGAACTTACTGCCTGTAAGGGTAGTAAAAGCAGAAACCCTCAACATTTGAAGAATACTTGTATGCTTTGTCTTTGCAACTGAACATCTATGGTTATGGACCAAGTGCTGGAAAATGGGATTAGAATAGATGGTTGTTTTGACCAGAGTGAATACTGAATAGAATAGTCTTGTATTTTTTTGTATATATCTTAAAAAATTCAATGAAAAGCATTTAAGTCACCATACCACAGCGTATATATTAATAACAGAAGGCATAGATAAGAAAAAATTAAGACAAAGTCCATCTTAGTTCACTTAAGGGTTTTGGTGTTCAGGAAAGGACAGTACCGCTGCAAGTCTGCTGTGGTACGTCACTGGATTACTGGGCCGGAAGCTGCTGCTGAAGCAGACCATCCAAGCCAAGCCACAAGATCCCACAGAAGCCATCCCAAGGACCAATCTCGCCACCACCACTGCCACCGCCAACCAATGGAATTCCGGGCTGTGCCACCGAAGACTCCAAAGCAGACTAGGCTGCAGCCACAATGGCCATGACGAACCACCACCATTACTGCAACAGTGGCCCAAAACAGTCCTCCTCCACCTTGCTGTCACCACCAATGTAGCAGCCAATATAGAGTCCTCATGCTGCCAGACTCTCATTCCGGGCTCACTAGTCGCCTCACCACCGACTGCCAGGGTCCTGCTCTAAGCTCACCAGCCACTGCCACGCTCTGGGCCCAAATGAAGCTGCCTTCTGCCGAAAAAAAGAGAGGAAAAAGGGGGGGAATAAAAGGAACTTGATGGGCCAAATGACCTTTCCCGGTGCTGTAGCTTTCTGTGACTCTTAGTGAAGAGAGCAGTGAACGTCCTTCAATAAAATCACATTTTTACTTTGCTTAAGTTCGTTAGACCTGCTAGCTCCTTCTTTAAAAGCATTAGACTCTTTTAACCGAGAAATGATCACATCACACTATACAACTATTGATCTGAGACTCTGAAGCATGCAGCATGAAAGGAGGCTATTTGACCTATCATGTTTGCACCAACTAACAAAATGCTATTCAATCGAATCCCAGTTTCTAGCTGTTGGTCTGTAGCCTTGTAGGTTGCAGCATTTCAAGTGTGTATCCAAGCAGGCAGTAAATGCTGGCCTAGCCAGCAATGCCCTCCTCCCATAAATGAATTGAAAATAGATGCCTTAAATGTTATGAGGGGTTTGGCTTTTTGAAGTTCCATCTAAATCTCCAACCGCTTGCCCTCAATCTACTCCTATGAGGTTATGGACCCCTCAACTCTTCATTTGTCTCCTGTTGGCCAAAGCAATCCCGACCTTTCCCCTTAATACTATTTTCCGCAGTCAAGGCAGCATCTTTATAATTTCCCCTTAATACTCATTCTGTCATTGAGTTAATTTCACCTAATATTTGACTCTCCTCCAATTTCAATATCTGTATTGGCCCTTTCCTTTGTGAAAATAAGCATGAAGAAGCCACTAAAAACTGTATCAATGTCCTCTGTCTCGAAATGCAAATTACCCTCATTGACCCTAATGGGCTCTTCTTTAATTATTTTTCTATACTTATAATAAGTCTTTGTTTTATTTATTTTTAGTTGCCTTTTTTCATCCTTCTCTTTTTTTTAACTAACATTTTAATTTCACCCCTTCACTACTCGTGCTGTGGGTCTTCTACAATGTTGAACCTTTGTTATCTGAAATCCCCTTTTTCCTCTATCCCTCTTTCAAGCTTCTTGATATCCAGCAGGGGCTGAATTTATTTGCACATGTTTTTCTTTAACCCTGAGAGCCCTTGTATCTTCTCTTCCTACATTTTTTCCTCTTGATCTGGCATTAATTTACCCTTTAATTAACTTATCCAAGTTCACACTAGCAATATCGTATTTCAGCTTAGATCAATAGCTTTTTCTTGTTTCAGAACGTCTTCCTGATCTTTGATCTTTTATCCATGCCGACTCACAATATAATCCCCATGATCCCTTCCAACAAAGTGCTGTCCTTGTGATACTAATTCCACCTCCCATGATTCAATCTTTAAAAGTAAGTTCGAAGCCTCAAAACCACCCCTTTCTTGTTGGGTATGGTATGCACTGGCTAGAAAGGTTTTCCTGAATACATTGTTTGTTCCCTTGTGCCTTTCACGCCAGTTCTATTTTTGTTAATGTTAGAGTTGTTGAAATCCCCCTGTTTTACCATCGTATTTTAGAACAGCTATAGCTTCAATTGCTATTATATACTGCAATGTTGTGATGCTATTGAATTAACTGTATCATCAAGGGTTGACAGTAAAAGCAGAAACCTGTTCTACATTCCAGGGTAAAGCTACTGGAAAGCCAGAAGAAGAAGCAAATGCAGGATATTGTGCACTGTATTGGGGACAAGTAAGTACGTTGTGTCTTTAAATGGATACATGTGGAGGCACTTAAAAGCCACTCAGTAACATGAAGCAGAATGAAGCTATTATTGTGATGGCTTACCTGATTTAATACCACAGCAGTTTAATTCATTTACTGAAACTGTCCTACACTTCCACAGGAGCTCTTCCATCTCTGAAATAGAACATTGCAACTTCATATCTTAAGCTTTGTTGAATTAATTTATTTTCAGAAAAGGTTCGTAAGGAACAAACAGTTGAAATTCTTGTCACAAACTTCTTGAAGATAACTTTTAAATCTCTAATGCTACTGGAAAGAAAACTGTTGGACATGACTTCATTTTTTTAAACATTTACTATAATACACTATCTAAAATCAACATAGTTCAAATATTAATGAACAGCCAAAAGGTATTATAAATGTAATGTCACTTTAAATAGACAATATAGGAAAGATATTTCATGTGGTTAGATGTATAGAAAATAGGAGCAGGATGATCATCCCATACCCTTGTGATCCCTTTTGCATTGAGAACAATGGCTAACTCCCTCAATGCATTCAGTGATTTGGAGATAGTAGGAACTGCAGATGCTGGAGAATCCAAGACAACAAGGTGCAGGGCTATGATGCTGCTTGGCCTGCTGTGTTCATTCAGTGATTTGATTTGTTTCAAAAACTCTTCCTCTGCTCCACAGGATCTCTCACTTCCCACTTTATCATCACAGCCCTTGAGTCACATTCACCAGCAGCTGAAGTCCCCAGACGTGGGCTACCACCAACAAGGCACATATTTAGGAACCCTCTTCTCAATCAACTCATGGCATTCCTGGTAACACAGAAACCCCTTTAACCCTCATCTCCTGCCCGTCATAATTCTTGTGCTATTGATAAGTAATGGATTAAATAACTTGGATTCAGTTTACTTGAAAATCTCCAGGTTTATTTAGCAGCTCAGACTATAATTTGCAGTTTCAGATAACTCTGCCTCTTGACTTTAGCTTGCTTCTGGTGGGCTGAGTGTGGCAGTTGGTTGTGAATTTCCACCCTGGTCCTTGGCTCAGTAGTACATGGAGTTCTTAAAGAATCGTCCCCTTGAGCTCCCTTCTCCCCTCCTGTTAGATGAACTAATGGTCCCTGACAACCCTGAGACCACTGCTGTTTTAATTGCCTTTCCTGGCTTCAGCTGTCTCTTCCAACACAGTAAGGCTGTGCTCTGTGATCTGCTTCAATATCAGGTTCTGTTTGACGACTGCCAAATATGAAACTTGCAGTCAGAGAAAATCTTGCTTATTTCTTGTCTACACAAATTCTGTGTTCTGAAGTACCAGATGGAAAACAATGCAGTTGGCTTTCTCTGATGTTGGAATTCTTGAAACCTCATGATGCCATAACCAGGAAACCAATTAAACCTCTTTCAAAATACTCCCCAGCTTTCTGGAGATATCACAGAAACGACATTTATATTTTCTCTGAAGTACATAGGCTATCATATTCTCAACATAAGAAAAAACGTAATCTCAATCTGTTATTCTTTGAAGAATTCTCATTAAATTGCTTTAATCTTTAACTGTGGAAGTTGATTTTAAAATCCTTCTGTAGAAATTTCAGTCTGCTAACACAACTCATTCCAGTCTGTCCACAATTATCTGCCCTAAAAGCCCCCTTGAATGTATCATGTCATAAATTTGTTTCATAATGTCATTGGGATATTTTGTTACATTAATAGTGCTATTTAAATGAAATTTGTTGGAGCTGACTGTTGAAGAAACTTTAACAATCTGTGATAATTACATTATTGCAACCTAAGTGACGTGATGGAGAGATGGGATAGAAAGTCTGGGAAAGTCCACCTGAGCCAGAAGTCACCAATCTCACTGTTGATGTTTTTCACCATTTCCTATTTGATTTGTTGATTTTATATATATTTTGTAAATACAATGATTTAAATTGGATTGAAATTACCAGCAGCAATTCTTTGCCTTTCAAATTGATACAATTCAGCTTTGGAGGTGTTGATTAAAACTAATTTCTTTCATTAGGAAGGCCATGCGGGAAATGGCAGAGATACTTGCTGACAAGTTTGAAGATGCAAGAGACAACCAGGAGGACATCATGATTAGGTATGAGCCAAGAATAGGACAGTGTATCTGTAAGTAGAGAAATGGGTGGACGTCTATAGTTTTAGAAAAACAGATTCACTTTAACTTACCTATGCTTTACAGAGTGAAGAGAATCTTGCACAGTTTGAATTCAAAGCTTCCTGTGCTGTCGGATAGCGAGAAAGACATGAAGAAAGAACTTAAAAGTATCAGTGAGCAACTCGAGGACCTGGGAAACGGTGTCAAGCAGGTACGAATAATCTTGAAACTTGTATTGTTTCTTATTCTCTTAAGGTAGCTGGTTCTCAGGAGTTTTTTTCTTTTAAAACTTCGAAACATACTGAAACAAAACCACTCCAATTATATTAACTGTTAATTACAATACTGAACTGCTTTAAAATGCACTTCCAACTGGTTGCTCTTCAGAATTACATACAAAAATTGTCAACTTGGCTCAATAGGTTGAAGACTTAGTTTGGACTCCAATTGTAGTGGGTTCAGGCTTTTTTTTTTGTTTTTGGAATTGACATAATTTTGGAATTAGCATTGGTATACTGAATCACTGCTGACGTGTTGTAGCTGTATGATGTGGGATCTAGCTGATCCCATTGAGAACGGCAGTGACCACATCTGCAGCAAGTGTTGGCTACTTGAGGAGCTCCGGCTCGAAATTGATGAGCTGGAATCCAAACTCCAAACACTGCGGCACATCCGGGAGGGGGGAGATACCTGGATACTGTGTTCCAGGAGGCAGTCACACCTAGTAGATTAACGTTAATTCGATCAGCGGCCAGAGACAGCGAGTGAGGCAGGTAGAGGGACCCTGCAGACAGGAACACAGGACCCGCAGCCCTTGACATTGTCCCACAGGTATGAGGCACTTGCTCCCTGCGTGGATGAGGAACAGGGCTGCAGGAAGGATGAGTCGACTGACCATGGCACCATGGTTCAGGAAGCCATTCAAGAGGGGGGAGCTAAAGGACAGATTGTAGTTGTAGGGGATTCCATCATCAAGAGGATAGACAGTATCCTTTGCAAGCAGGATAGAGAGTCCCGCATGGTGTGTTGCCTGCCCGGTGCCAGGGTGCGAGACATCTGGCTTGAGAGGATACTAGAGAGGGAGGGGGAGGATCCAGTTGTTGTGGTCCACGTAGGTACCAACAACATAGGCAGGACTAGGAAAAAAGATCTGTTTCGGGATTGTGAAAAGCTAGGAACAAAATTTTTAAAAAAACAGATCTTCAAGGGTCATAATCTCTGGATTGCTGCCTGAGCCAAATCCAAATTGGCATAGGGAGGCGAGGATCGGGGAAGTAAACACGTGGCTAAAAGATTGGTGTGGGAAAGAAGGTTTCCTTTTCATGGGGCACTGACATCATTTCTGGGACAGGAGGGATCTATACGGCTGGGATGGACTCCACCTGAACAGGGCCGGGTCCAGTGTTCTGGCGAAAAGGGTAAATAGGGTGGTCAATAGGACTTTAAACAAGGAACTCGGGGGAAGGGAGGAGTGAGCGTACAGGGAGTATAACAATAAATGGAAGGCAAAGCAGCAGATTAGCAGGTGACGAGGAAGCTTCAACTCCATTGCAAATCAGGAAAAAAGTTAAAGGGAAGGAGAACTCAAGAGCTGTTAGTAATGGAGGTGATAGGACTCAAGAAGAAGGTGCAAAAACTGGCATAAGGGCACTTTATCTGAATGCTCGGAGCATTCGAAACAAGGTGGATGAGTTGACGGCGCAAATCATGGCAAATGGGTATGATTTAGTGGCCGTTACAGAGACATGGTTGCAGGATGGTCATGACCGGGAGTTAAATATCCAGGGGTATCAAACTGTTCAGAAGGACAGACAGGAAGGTAAGGGAGGTGTTGTCGCTCTGATTTTTAAGGATGATATCAGGGCGGTAGTGAGAGATGATATAGGTTCTTCTGAACAAAACGTTGAATCCATTTGGGTGGAAATTAGGAATAGGAAGGAGAAGAAGTCACTGATAGGTGTGGTCGATAGGCCACCAAATAATGACATCGTGGTGGGATGGGCAATAAACATAGAAATAGCTAATGCATGTAAAAATGGTACAGCAATTATCATGGGGGATTATAATCTACATATCGATTGGTCAAACCAGGTCAGTCATGGCAGCCTTGAGGAGGGGTTCATAGAATGCATCCACGATAATTTCCTTGAACAATATGTAATGGAACCTTCGAGGGAGCAAGCTATTCTAGATCTAGTCCTGTGTAATGAGACAGGAATAATTAATGATCTCTTGGTTAGGGATCCTCTCAGAAGGAGCGAGCACAGTATGGTCGAATTTAAAATACAGATGGAGCGTGAGAAGGTTAAATCCAGTACCAATGTCCTGTGCTTAAACAAAGGAGACTATGATGGGATGAGGGAGGTGTTAGCTAAGGTAGAATGGGAGCAAAAACTTTGTGGTGGGTCAATTGAGGAACAGTGGAGGACTTTCAAAATGATTTTCAGTGTTCAGCAGAAATATATTCCAGTGATAAGGAAAAACTGTAGGAAAAGAGATAGTCAGCCATGGATGTCTAAGGAAATAAAGGAAAGTATCAGATTGAAAAAAAACGCATACAAAAAAGCAAAGAGTAGTGGGAAACTAGTAGACTGGGAAATCTTTAAAGGCCAACAGAAAGCCACAAAAAAAGTTATAAAGAAAAGTAAGATAGATTATGAGAGTAAAGTAGCTCAGAATATAAAAACAGGCAGCAAAAGTTTATATAAATATGTAAATCATAAAAGAGTGGCGAAGGTAAACATTGGTCCTTCAGAGGATGAGAAGGCCAATTTAATAACTGGGAATGAGGAAATAGCTGAGGCATTAAACAGATTGTGTCGGTCTTCACAGTGGAAGACACAAATAACATGCCGAAAACTGATGGCAAGAAGGTTATAGCAGGTGAGGACCTAGAAACTATCATTATCACTAAGGAGGCAGTGTTGGGCCAGCTAATGGGGCTAAAGGTAGACAAGTCTCCTGGCCCTGATGAAATGCATCCCAGGGTACTAAAGAGGTGATGGGGGAAATAGCAAATGCACTAGTAATTATTTATCAAAATTCACTGGACTCTGGGGTGGTTCCTGCAGATTGGAAAACAGCCAATGTGACGCCACTGTTTAAAAAAGGAAGTAGACAAAAAGCAGGTAACTATAGGCCAGAGATAGTAGGAACTGCCGATGCTGGAGAATCTGAGACAACAAGGTGTAGAGCTGGATGAACACAGCAGGCCAAGCAGCACCAAGCAACTATAGGCCAGTTAGCTTAACTTCGGTAGTGGGGAAAATGCTTGAACCTATCATTAAGGAAGAAATAGCAAGACATCTGGATATAAATTGTCCCATTGGGAACACCCAGCATGGGTTCATGAAGGGTAGGTCATGTTTAACTAATTTGGTGGAATTCTTTGAGGATATTACTTGCATGGTGGACAATGGGGAACCCATGGATGTGGTGTATCTGGATTTCCAGAAGGCATTTGACAGACAAGGTGCCACACCAAAGGCTGCTACATAAGATAAAGTTGCACGGTATTACAGGTGATGTATTGGCATGGATAGAGGATTGGTTGACTAGTAGAAAACAAAGAGTAGGGGTAAATGGGTGTTTTTCTGGTTGGTGGTCGGTGGCTAGTGGTGTGCCTCTGGGATCAGTATTGGGAGTGCAATTGTTTACAATTTACCTAGATGATTTGGAGTTGGGGACTAAGTGTGGTGTGTCAAAATTTGCAGGTGACACTAAGATGAGTGGTAGAGCAAAGTGTGCAGAAGACACTGAAAGTCTGCAGAGGGATATAGATAGTCTAAGTGAGTGGACAAAGGTCTGGCAGATGGAGTACAATGTTGATAAGTGTGAGGTCATCCATTTTGGTAGGAGTAACAGGAAAATGGACTATGTTTTAAATGGTAAAAAATTGCAGCATGCTGCTGTGCAGAGGGACTTGGGTGTCCTTGTGCATGAATCACTAAAAGTAGAATTGCAGGTGCAGCAGGTAATTAAAAAGGCAAATGGATTTTTGTCTGTCATTGCTAGAGGGATGGAGTTTAAAAACAGGGAGGCTATGCTACAGCTGTATAGGGTCCTGGTGAGGCCACATCTGGAGTACTATGTGCAGTTTTGGTCTCCTTACTTGAGAAGGGATATACTAGCACTGGAGGGGGTGCAGAGGAGATTCACTCGGTTGATTCCAGAGTTGAGAGGGTTGGATTATGCGGAGAGACTGAGTAGGCTGGGATTATACTCATTTGAATTCAGAAGAATGAGGGGAGATCTTATAGAAACATATAAGATTATGAAGGGAATCGATAAGATGGAGGCAGGGAGGTTGTTTCTACTAGCAGGTGAAACTAGGACTGGAGAGCATAGCCTCAAAATAAAAGGAAGCAGATGTAGGACTGAGGTCAGGAGGAACCTCTTCACCCAAAGGGTTGTGAAGCGGTTGAAGCTATCTCACTGAATGTTTTTAAGGCAAGGCGAGATAAATTTTTGAACAGTAAAGGAATTCAGGGTTATGGTGAGCGGGCGGGTAGAAATGACCCAGAGAAGAGGTTTAAATGATATGTGCCAAACACTGGCAAATGGGACATGGCCAGATTAAGATGACTGGTCAAATCTGGCAAGTTGGACCGTGCTGTATGACCCTATGATAAATTAAGTTACATTTGCTTCAATGCAAGAGGCCTGACAAGTAAGGCAGATGAATTTAGGGCATAGTTGGGAGCGTGGGATTGGGATTCATAGCTGTTAGGCGGTTCAGTGATGGACAGGACTGTCAGCTTAATGTCCCAGGGTATAAATGCTATAGGAAGGATAGAACAGGAGGCAAGAGAGGAAGGGGAAGTAGCATTTTTGGTTAGGGTTAACATTACAACGGGTCTTGGGGAGGATATGCCTGGACGTTGGGATTGTATTACAGGCCCCCCAGTAGTAAGTGAGAAATTGAGAAGCAAATATGTAAGGATATTTCTCATATTTGATCAGGACCTGAACAGGTATATCCGAGGTCTTTGTGGAAAGCTAGAGAAGTGATTGCTGGGCCCTTTGCTGAGATATTAGGGTGGAGGTTGGCTAATGTGGTGCCATTATTTAAGAAAGGTGGTAAGGAAAAACCAGGGAACTATAGTCTGGTGAGCCTGACATCAGTGGTGGGTAAGTTGTTGGAGGGGATTCTGAGGTACAGTTTTTACAAGTATTTGGAAAGGCAAGGACTGATTAGGGATAGTCAGCATGGCTTTACATGAGAAGTAGTGTTTCAGTGACTTGTTTTTTGAAGAAGTGACAAAGAACATTGATGAAGGCAGAGCAGTGGATGTTGCCTGTATAGACTTCAGCAAGGCTTCTACATGACGTACTGGTTAGCAAGGTTAGATCACATGGAATCCAGGGAGAGCTAGCCATTTGGATACAAAATTGGCTTGAATGTGGGATTCAAGTTATGGTGGAGGACTGTTTTTTTTTGGACTGGAGGTCTGTGACCAGCGGTGTGCCGCAAGGATTGGTGCTTTGTCCACTGCTTTTTGTCATTTTACATAAATGATTTGGATGTGAATATAGGAGGAATGGTTAGTAAGTTTGCAGGTGACACCAAAATAGATGGTGTAGTAGATAGTGAAGAAGGTCATCTGAGTACAATGGGACCTTGATCAGGTGGGCCAAGGAGTGGCAAATGGAGTTTAATTTCGATAAATGTGAGGTGTTGCATTTTGATAAGGGAAATTCGGGTAGGACTTATACACTTATTGGTATAGTTCTGGCAAGTGTTGCCGAACAGAGATCTTGGGGTCCATGTTCGAGGTTCCTTGAAAATGGAGTTGCAGGTAAACAGGGTAGTGAAGATGGCATTTGGTATGCTTGCCTTTATTGGTCAGTGTGGAGGTCATGTTGCAGCTGTACTGGACATTGTTTAGGCCACTTTTAGAACACTGCATTCAATTCTGGTCTCCCTGTTATAGGAAAGATGTTGTGAAACTTGAAAGGATTCAGAAAATGTTTACAAGGATGTTGCCAGGGTTGGAGAGTTTGAGCTATAGGGAGAGGCTGAATAGGCTGAGGACATTTTCCCTGGAGTGTGACCTTTATAGAGGCTTATAAAATCATGAGGGACATGGGTAGGGATGTCCAAAACTAGAGGGCATGGGTTTAAGGTGACAGGGGAAAGATTTAAGAGACCTGAGGGGTAACTTCTTCACGCACAGGGTGGTGTGTGAATGGAACAAGGTGGAGGCGGGTACAATTACAACATTTTTAAAAGCAATAGGAATGGATATATGAACGTGAAGCATTTAGAGGGATATGGGCAAACGCTGGCAGATGGGACTAGGTCAGATTGGGATGTCTGGTTGGCACGAGTGAGTTGGACTATAGGGTTTGTTTCCATGCTGTATGATACTATGACTATAAGTTCTTACTGCCTTTTGTTTTTCAAACTACCCTTCACTACCCTGTCTAAATCCTCTGGTTAGAACTGATATTTGTCACATTGTTTTGTTTTTCCTTCCAATTTGATACCAGCCTTTGCTTTCCTTGACCTACTGTACTACTGAACCTACTGCAGCGTCAGCCGCAGCTTAATTGGCAGAACTCCTATCTCTGAATCAGAAGTTAGTGTACCCAAGTCCTACTCAGCAGTTTGGGACAAAAATGCAGGCTGACACTCCAGTGCCATAGTGAGTGAAGAGTATTGCATTGTCGAAGGGTCCATCTTTCAGTTGAGATGTTAAAGCATAACATCGGTGGCCCTCCCTGAAATAGGCACACAAGATTCTATGTTACTATTTCAAAAAACAAGCCAATATCCTGGCCAATATTTATCCCTCAATCAAAAAAAAACTTTATCTGATCTTCTTTGAATACTATTTGTGGGTGCTTGCTATGTGAAACATGTCCATAAAGTGCTTTGAGACACTGGTGGCCATAAAAGTGCTATATCAATGCAGATCTCATTTTAAAAAAATTAGCCGCAAAATTAGCTGGAGTTGTCCTATTTGGTTGTGTTTGAGGCTTTTTGGTTGTGAAGGAATTCAAATCATTTGCAGTGATGTCTGGTTTTCCTCAAATGTAGTTTACATTAAATGAACCAATTTGCTGTTTGTTTTTAATATATCTGAGTAAAATTCAACAAGCAATTTGTGATAACTTTCATCTGAAGGTAGGAAGTGGATTTACAGTACAAGCTGGTTTTTAAATCAAATTGTTGCAGTGTTCCCTAATTAATGTAATCAAGTCCTTTTCATCTCAGGTGCATATGAAGAGTGCATACCAGCAGAGGGAAATACACGAGCAAGATAGTCCGCGGAAAAAGAGCATCTCACTCAGTGTGTCCCAGAAAAAGTGCATTCAATCTGTGTTAAAGGAGCAGTAAGTACCAAAGATATCAAATGGGTCAGTTGAATTGCAAACATAGGGAATACTATTGAATAAGCCCAAATGGTCAGCTAGCCAGCTTTGTAGATTAAGTGTGAGAAGCAAACAGTGTTTTATTTGATAGATTCTTTTTTTAAAAAAGGAAGCGGGGTTATAAAGATAATTTTTTTTTAGACTGGGAGAAGGTGCAACAATCAGTCTTTAAACCAGAAACGCGTAGCTTGTACAGACATAAAAGCAAGCTATTTAATTTCCAGTTGCCATCAGTCACCATCAATTCTGAGGAAGGGTCACCGAACCTGAAACGTTAACTCTGATTTTTTTTTCTTCACACATTCTGCCAGACCTGCTGAGCTTTTCCAGCAACTTCCATCGATTTTGCTTCCAATTTCGACCCTGCCCACACTTTCACCTGGTCTATCTCTGACTCCTCCCTTCTATTCCTCGACATCTGTTTCCATTTCTGGGGATAGATGGGCCACTAATATCCACTATAAACCCACTGACTCCCCCAGCTACCTGGACTATACATCCTCACACCCTGCTTCCTGTAAAGACTCCATCCCATTCTCTAGTTCCTCCGTCTCCATCGCGTATGTTCAGATGAGACCAACTACGACAAGGGAGGATATGAAATGTACACTTTCTTCAGCTCCGTTGTCAATAGGGCCCTCAAGCGGGTCCAACCCATTTCCGCCCTTACCCCTTCTCTTCCCTCCCGCAACAGCGATAGTGTTCCCCTTGTCCTTACCTACCATCCCACCAGCATCCACATCCAAAAGATCATCAGACACCATTTCTGCCACCTCCAGAGCCCAAATATACCTTCCAGGTGAAGCAACGCTTCACCTGCACTTCCCAGAATCTAGTCTACTGCATTCGCTGCTCACAATGTGACCTTCTCTACATTGGGGAAATGAAGCATAGACTGAGTGACCGCTTCACAGAATATCTACGTTCTGCTTGCAAAAAAGACCCTGAGCTACCTGTTGCCTGCCAGTTTAACACACCACCCTGTTCCCTGGCCAACATCTCGTTCTCTGAGATAGTAGGAACTGCAGATGCTGGAGAATCCGAGACAACAAGGTGCAGGGCTGGATGAACACAGCAGGCCAAGCAGCATCATAGGAGCAGAGAGGCTGACGTTTCGGGCCTAGACCCTTCATCAGAAAAGGGGGAGGGGAAGGGGGTTTTGAAATAAATAGGGAGAGAGTGGGAGGTGGATAGAAGAGGGACAGGTGGAGAGGAAACAAACAGGTCGAAGAGGCGGGGATGGAGCCAGTAAAGATGAGTGTAGGTAGGGAGTTAGGAAGGGGATAGGTCAGTCCAGGGAGGACGGACAGGTCAAG